GTGGTGGTGTACATTTGCTGCGATATTCAGGGTATGGTCATCCTTTGTCCTCAGGATATTATTAACTACATCACAGACCAGTTTTAGTTTGCCTTGATATTGGTACAATCCGAGAGTGTAAACCTTTTACAATGAGAGTAATACCTACTCAGCATATGATGGATAATATCACGAAATGGACACACACAAGTGTATACCCACTTTGATATTGAAAGTAATTTTTATCTAATATACTAAAAATCATATCCCAGAATATAATGTGTACTTATTAAAATATTACAAACAATGCAAAGAATATGTACCATATGTACATTGACTGTGATGTACATATGTGTACACAATAGAGATGTACAATAAATAAACATAATCTGTACAATATGTACATTTATATGTATATAATATGTAAACAATAAGTATGTACATAATGTGTACAATATGTATATTTGTAATATTACAATAATATCACAACAGCATATACAATCACAATACACATGTAATACAGAATATAAATGCACGTATTTCACATATGATGTACATTTACATTTACTGTGGTATGATGATGTGTTTACATGTACAGCATGCGCCCATTATGTACGGATGTACAATAAATGCAAGTGTGGATATATGTGCATAGTATGTACATATGTATGCTATGTACACATACGTACATATAATGTAGAGATTTACCTTCTGTACACAAGTACTTAATATGCAGAGTATGTACATGTACAAACAATGTACACACATAAGTTTACACCCACTTTGGTAACCAGAGTAATTTCTATCTTATATTCGAGAGGTAATATCACAGAATGTACGCATAATGAGTACATTTATTGGCATATCACAATAAATGCATAAAATAGGTACAATCTGTACATTTACTCTGCTGTACATGTGTACCCAATACACAAGTAGATAAAATGTACATAATCTGTAAAATATGTTCCTTTATATTTCTATAATGTGTACACAATGCATAGGTACATAATGTGTAAAATATGTACATTTGTAATATCACAATGATATTACAACAGCATAATCACAATAAAAGTAATACATAATATAAACGTACATATTGCAAACATGTACATTTACATTTACATTTATTGTAATATGTGTACACATGTACATCATGTACCAATTATGTACAGATGTACAATATATGAACGTGTACATATCTGTGCATAGTATGTACATATGTGTGCAACGTACACATATGTATATATAATGTAGACATGTACATTCTCTACATGAGTACATAATATGCACAACATGTACTTGTATAAATTATGTGCACACCTGGGTGTAGACCCACTGTAATCACCGATGTGATTTCTATCCAATATGCAAAAAATTATATCCCAGAATGTCCTCATAATGTGTAAATTTATTGACATATCACAATAAATGTATCAAATAGGTGCAGTCTGTACATTTACACTAGTGTACATATGTGTACACAATGCACATGTACCAAAATATACATATTCTGTCAAATACGTACCTGCATAGTTCTACAATGTGTGCACCATGCATAGGTACATAATTTGTGCACTATGAACATTCCTTGAAATATCAGTGATAAAATATATATAATCACAATAAGATACATAATCACAGTAATATATACATGTCGTGTAGTATCACAAAAGAGTACATATTACACATTAGATATGCGTTAGGTACGTATGTGTTTTGCACATATGTACATACAGATTTATGTTAACATAAGTACACGTGTAAAAATACGTGCTCACTATTTAAACTATGTACACATGAAGATATATATGCAAACTCTATACCTATGCACAGGCATGCTATTACCACAGCCCACATCGTAGCATCCCCCACACGCCCTCTGGCTGCTTATAGACACCCTGGCTATGAGGCTGTACCAACAGCCGCCACCAGAGGGCCTGTAAGAGCACCCAGGCCCACCCTGGCTACCTACGGATGCCCTGGCTAGAAAGCTGTGCCCACATCCCCACAAGAGGTCCTGTAGCAGCCCGCCAGCCCACTCTGGCAACGTAGGGACACCCTGGCTTAAGGGCGTTTTCCGATACACTGCCAGAGAGCATGTAGCAGACCCCAGGCCTACCCTGCAGCTAAGGAACACACTAACTAAGTGACTGGGCCCAGAGCCCCCACCAGAGGGCCCGAAGTAAATCCCAGGTGCACCATGGCTGCTAAGGAACACCCTGGCTATGTGGCTGTACTTACAGGCTCCACCAGCGTGCCCGTAGCCACCCAGTGGCCCAGAATGTCTGCTTAGGGACACCCTGGATAGAGCACTGTGCCCACAGTCCTCAACAACGAGCCTGTAGCAGGCCCAAAGCACACCCTGCTTGCTTTGGGACCCCTCATTTGGTGGCTTTACCCACCGCTGCTGGGGCCAAGCTATTTTGAAAATGTGGTTTAATATGATACTGGTGACCATATCATACAGAAATGATAATGTTATTCTCTTTTGCTATATATTAGGCAGTAGTTATAGTTACACCTTTGCTATATTGACAAAAATGCCATCCTCACATCCCATGATATTAGAATTTAAAGCATGGAGTTTCACCACTTACAATGTTTAATTCAATATAATAGTTTTCTTGTTTACATTAGTGACCCTATCAGAGCATGTTGTACACCTTTTGCCATATTCAGAGTACTTTCCTATAAGCCGCAACATTTTTCTCTCCTCCTCTGGATGTTAGAAACAACATCCAAAAACCGGCCTACAACCCCAGTCACATCGGGAGTAATGTCCTCTATAATCCTCTAGTTATTAGGAACAATATCACGAAAGGCTTGTGCGGTCTCTCAGATATTTGGAGTAATATCTTTTAAGTTTTTGAATATTAGAAATAATACTACAGTGGTGGTGTATACTGCATTCGATATTCAGGGTATGGTAATCCTTTGTCTTTCGGACATGATTCACTACATCACAGAAGCGTTTTCCTTTGCCTGTGATATTGGAACCATCGCAGAGGGTACACTTGCTCTCACAAAAAGAGTAATACCTACTTAGGATATGATGGATAATATCACGAAATGGACACACATATGTGTATACCCACTCTGATATTGGAAGTAATTTTTATCTAACATACTAAAAATCATATCTCAGAATATACTCATGATGTGTACGCTTATTGGTATATTACAAGCAAGTAACTGAATATGTACCACATGTAAACTGACTGTGATGGGCATATGTGTACACAACACAGATGTACAATAAATTTACATAATCTATAAAAGATGGACAATTATATGCATACAAAGTGTACACAATAGATATGTTCAAAATGTGTACAATATGTACACTTATTCTAACACCACAATGATATCATATAATCACAACAGCTTATAAAACCACAATGCACAGGTAATACATAATACAAATGTACATATTGCACACACTATGTACATTTACATTTATTGTGATATATTGATATGTACACAGGTACATCATGTACCAATTAGGTACGAATGTGCAATATATGCAGGTGTAGATATGTGTGTACACAATGGACATATGTACACAAAATACACATACGTACATATAATGTAGATATGTACCTTCTCTACACGAGTCCATAATATGAACAGAATGCACATGTATAAACTATGTACACACATGCGTGTGCACCAGCTTTGGTAACTGAAGTGATTTCTATTTAATTACTTTTAATGGATATTAAAAGTAATATCCCAGAATGTACTCATAATGTGTACATTTATTGACATATCACAATAAAAGTATCAAATAGGTACAGTCTGTACATTTACTCTGCTGTACATATGTGTACACAATGCACATGTATTAAAATGTACATATTTTGTCAAATATGTACCTGCATATTTCTACAATGTGTACACCATGCATTAGGTACATAATTTGTGCACTAGGAACATTCTTTGAAATATCAGTGATAAAATATATATAATCACCACAAGATATATAAACACAGTAATATATACATGTATTGTAGTATCACCAAATAGTACATATTGCACACATTAGGTATGCGTTAGGTACGTATGTGTTTTGCACATGTTATGTACGTACAGATTTATCATGTTAACATAAGTACACGTGTACAAATATGTGGTCACTATTTAAACTATGTACACGTGAAGATATAGATGCAAACTCTGTACCTAAGCACAGGTATGCTATTACCACAGCCCACATCGTAGCGTCCGTCACATGCCCTCTGGCTTCTTATAGACCCAGGGTGTTGAGGCTGTGCCCACAGCCGTCACCAGAGGGCCTGTAAGAGCACCCAGGCCCACCCTGGCTACCTACGGATGCCCGGGCTAAAATACTGTGCCCACTTCCCCACCAGTGGTCCTGTAGCAGCCCGCTAGCCCACTCTGGCAACGTTGGGACACTCTGGCTTAAGGGCGTTGTCCGATACACTGCCAGAGAGCATGTAGCAGACCCCAGGCAAACCCTGCAGCTTAGAAACACAGTAACCAGGTGACTGTGCCCAGAGCCCCCACCAGAGGGCCCGGTGTAAATCCCAGGTGCACCATGGCTGCTTAGGAACAACCTGGCTATGTGGCTGTCTTTACAGGCTCTGCCAGCGTGCCCGTAGATGCCCAGTGGCACAGAATGGCTGCTAAGGGACACTCTGGATAGAGCACTGTTCCGCCGGTCCCCACCAACGAGCCCGTAGCAGGCCCAAGGCACACCGTCGTTGCTTTGGGACCCCCTCGCTTGGTGGCTATGCCCACCGCTGCTGGGGCCAAACTATTTTGAAAATGTGGTTTAATATAATACTGGCGACCATATCATACAGAAATGATAATGTTATTCTCTTTTCCTATATATTATGCAGTAGTTATAGTTACACTTCTGCTATATTGACAAAAATGCCATCCTCACATCCCATGACATTAGAATTTAAAGCATAGTGGAGTTTCACCCCTTACCATGTTTAATTCAATATAATTGTTTTCTTGTTTACATTAGTGACCCTATCAGAGCATGCTGTACACCTCTTGCCATATTCAGAGTACTTCCCTATAAGCCACAACATTTTCCTCTCCTCCTCTGGATGTTAAGAACAATATCCCAGGACCGGCCTACAACCCCAGTCACATCGTGAGTAATGTCCTCTATAATCCTCTAGTTATTAGAAACAATATCACGGGGGGCTTGTGCGGTCTCTCAGATACTTGCAGTAATATCTTTTAAGTTTTTGAATATTAGAAACGATACTAAAGTGGTGGTGTATACTACATTCGATATTCAGGGTATGGTAATCCTTTGTCTTTCGGACATGATTCACTACATCACAGAAGCATTTTCCTTTGCCTGTGATATTGGAACCATCGCAGAGGGTACACTTGCTCTCACAAGGAGAGTAATACCTACTTAGAATATGATGGATAATATCACGAAATGGAGGCACATATGTGTATACCCACTTTGATATTGGAAGTAATTTTTATCTAATATACTAAAAATCATATCTCAGAATATACTCATGATGTGTACACTTATTGGCATATTACAAGCAAGTAACTGAATATGTACCACATGTAAACTGACTGTGATGGGCATATGTGTACACAACACAGATGTACAATAAATTTACATAATCTATAAAAGATGGACAATTATATGCATACAAAGTGTACACAATAGATATGTTCAAAATGTGTACAATACGTACACTTATCCTAACACCACAACGATATCATATAATCACAACAGCTTATAAAACCACAATGCACATGTAATACCTAATACAAATGTACATATTTCACGCACTATGTACATTTACATTTATTGTGATATTACGATATGTACACAGGTACATCATGTACCAATTAGGGATGAATGTGCAATATATGCAGGTGTAGATATGTGTGCACAGAATGGACATATGTACACTATATACACATACGTACATATAATGTAGATATGTACCTTCTGTACACGAGTCAATAATATGAACAGCATGCACATGTATAAACTATGTACACACATGCGTGTACACCAGCTTTGGTAACTGAAGTAATTTCTATTTTTTTTAAATTTTTTATTGGATTATAGGTTTTGGGGTACATGAGCAGAGCATGCAAGACAGTTGCGTAGGTACACACATAGCAGTGTGCTTTGCTTTCCTTCTCCCCTTCACCCACATTTGGTATTTCTCCCCAAGCTATCCCTCCCCACCTCCCCCTCCCACTGGCCCTCCCCGTTTCCCCCCAATAGACCCCAGTGTTTAGTACTCCCCTTTCTGTGTCCATGTGTTCTCATTTTTCATCACCCACCTATGAGTGAGAATATGCGGTGTTTCATTTTCTGTTCTTGTGTCAGTTTGCTGAGGATGATGTTCTCCAGATTCATCCATGTCCCTACAAACTTTTACACTGTTGGTAGGAGTGTAAATTAGTTCAACCATTGTGGAAGACAGTGTGGCGATTCCTCAAGGCCTTAGAAATAGAAATTCCATTTGACCCAGCAATCCCATTACTGGGTATATATCCAAAAGACTATAAATCGTTCTACTATAAAAACACATGTACACAAATGTTCATTGCAGCACTGTTTACAATAGCAAAGACCTGGAATCAACCCAAATGCCCATTGATAATAGACTGGATTAGAAAAATGTGGCACATATACACCATGGAATATTATGCAGCAATCAGAAATGATGAGTAATTTCTATTTAATGTGCTAAAAGTAATATCCCAGAATGTACTCATAATGTGTACATTTATTGACATATCACAATAAATGTATCAAATAGGTACAGTCTGTACATTTACTCTGCTGTACATATGTGTACACAACCCACATGTACCAAAATGTACATATTATGTCAAATATGTACCTGCAGATGTCTACAATGTGTACACCATGCATTAGGTACATACTTTGTGCACTAGGAACATTCCTTGAAATATCAGTGATATAATATATATAATCACAATAAGGTATATAATCACAGTAATATATACATGTCGTGTAGTATCACCAAATAGTACATATTGCACACATTAGGTATGTGTTAGGTACGTGTTTTACACATATTATGTACATACAGATTTATCATGTTAACATAAGTACACGTGTATAAATATGTGCTCACTATTTAAACTATGTACACATGAAAATATAGATGCAAACTCTGTACATATGCACAGGCATGCTATTACCACAGCCCACATCGTAACATCCCCCACACGCCCTCTGGGTGCTTATAGACACCCGGGCTTTGAGGCTGTGCCCACAGCCGCCACCAGAGGGCCTGTAAGAGCACCCAGGCCCACCCTGGTTACCTTCGGATGCCCTGGCTAGAAAGCTTTGCCCACATCCCCACAAGAGGACCTGTAGCAGCCCGCCAGCCCACTCTGGCAACATAGGGACACCCTGGCTTAAGGGCGTTTTCCGATACACTGCCAGAGAGCATGTAGTAGACCCCAGGCCAACCCTGCAGCTTAGGGACACACTAACTAGGTGACTGTGCCTAGAGCCCCCACTAGAGGGCCCGAAGTAAATACCAGGTGCACCATGGCTGCTTAGGAACACCCTGGCTATGTGGCTGTCCTTAAAGGCTCCGCCAGCATGCCCATAGCAGCCCAGTAGCTCAGAATGTCTGCTAGGGGAAACCCTGGATGGAGCACTGTGCCCACAGTCCCCACCAAGGAGCCTGTAGCAGGCCCAAGGCACACCCTGGTTGCTTTGGGACCCCCTCGCTTGGTGGCTATGCCCACCGCTGCTGGGGCCAAGCTATTTTGAAAATGTGGTTTAATATGATACTGGCGACCATATCATACAGAAATGATAATGTTATTCTCTTTTGCTATATATTAGGCAGTAGTTATAGTTACACCTCTGCTATATTGACAAAAATCCCATCCTCACATCCATTGACATTAGAATTTTAAGCATAGAGGAGTTTCACCCCTTGCTTTGTTTAATTCAACATAATTGTTTTCTTGTTTACATTAGTTACCCTATCAGAGCATGCTGTACACCTCTTGCCATATTCAGAGTTCTTCCCTACAAGCTGCAACATTTTCCTCTCCTCCTCTGGATGTTAGGAACAATAACCCAGGACCGGCCTACAACCTTAGTCACATCGTGAGTAATGTCCTCTATAATCCTCTAGTTATTAGGAACAATATCACGGGGAGCTTGTGCGCTCTCTAAGATATTTGGTGTAATATCTTTTAAGTTTTTGAATATTAGAAACGATACTACAGTGGTGGTGTATACTGCATTCGATATTCAGGGTATGGTAATCCTTTGTCTTTCGGACATGATTCACTACATCACAGAAGCGTTTTCCTTTGCCTGTGATATTGGAACCATCGCAGAGAATACACTTGCTCTCACTAGGAGAGTAATACCTACTTAGGATATGATGGATAATATCACGAAATGGACACACATATGTGTATACCCACTTTGATATTGGAAGTAATTTTTTTCTAATATACTAAAAATCATATCTCAGAATATACTCATGATGTGTACACTTATTGGTATATTACAAGCAAGTAACTGAATATGTACCACATGTAAATTGACTGTGATGGGCATATGTGTACACAACACAGATGTACAATAAATTTACATAATCTATAAAAGATGGACAATTATATGCATACAAAGTGTACACAATAGATATGTTCAAAATGTGTACAATACGTACACTTATTCTAACACCACAACGATATCATATAATCACAACAGTTTATAAAACCACAATGCACATGTAATACCTAATACAAATGTACATATTTCACGCACTATGTACATTTACATTTATTGTGATATTACGATATGTACACAGGTACATCATGTACCAATTAGGGATGAATGTGCAATATATGCAGGTGTAGATATGTGTGCACAGAATGGACATATGTACACTATATACACATACGTACATATAATGTAGAAATGTACCTTCTGTACACGAGTCCATAATATGAACAGCATGCACATGCATAAACTATGTACACACATGCGTGTACACCAGCTTTGGTAACTGAAGTAATTTCTATTTAATGTGCTAAAAGTAATATCCCAGAATGTACTCATAATGTGTACATTTATTGACATATCACTATAAATGTATTAAATAGGAACAGTCTGTACATTTACTCTGCTGTACATATGTATACACAACGCACATGTACCAAAATGTACATATTCTGTAAAATATGTACCTGCAGATTTCTACGTGTACACCATGCATTAGGTACATAATTTGTGCACTAAGAACATTTTTTGAAATATCAGTGATAAAATATATATAATCACAATAAGGTACATAAACACAGTAATATATACATGTCGTGTAGTCTCACCAAATAGTACATATTGCACACCTTAGGTATGCGTTAGGTACGTATGTGTTTTACACATATTATGTACACACAGATTTATCATGTTAACATAAATACACGTGTAAAAATATGTGCTCACTATTTAAACTATGTACACATGAAGGTATAAATGCAAACTTTGTACCTATGCACAGGCATGCTATTACCACAGCCCACATCGTAACATCCCCCACACGCCCTCTGGCTGCTTATAGACACCCGGGCTTTGAGGCTGTGCCCACAGCCGCCACCAGAAGGCCTGTAAGAGCACCCAGGCCCACCCTGGCTACCTATGGATGCCCTGGCTAGAAAGCTTTGCCCACATCCCCACCAGAGGTCCTGTAGCAGGCCGCCAATTTATTCTGGCAACGTAGGGACTACCTGGCTTAAGGGCGTTGTCCGATACACTGCCAGAGAGCATGTAGCAGACCCCAGGCCAACGCTGCAGCTTAGAAACACACTAACTAGGTGACTGTGCCTAGAGCCCACACCAGAGGGCCCGAAGTAAATCCCAAGTGCACCATGGCTGCTTAGGAACACCCTGGCTATGTGGCTGTCCTTACAGGCTCCGCCAGCATGCCCGTAGAAGCCCAGTAGCCCAGAATGGCTGCTCAGGGAAACCCTGGATAGAGCACTGTGCCCACAGTCCCCACCAACGAGCCCGTAGCAGGCCCAAGGCACACCCTGGTTGCTTTGGGACCCCCTCGCTTGGTGGCTATGCCCACCGCTGCTGGGGCCAAGCTATTTTGAAAATGTGGTTTAATATGATACTGGCGACCATATCATACAGAAATGATAATGTTATTCTCTCTTGCTATATATTAGGCAGTAGTTATAGTTACACCTCTGCTATATTGACAAAAATGCCATCCTCACAGCTCTTGACATTAGAATTTAAAGCATAGGGGAGTTTCAGCCCTTGCAATGTTTAATTCAATATAATTGTTTTCTTTTTTACATTAGTGACCCTATCAGAGCATGCTGAACACGTCCTGCCATATTCAGAGTACTTCCCTATAAGCCGCAACATTTTCCTCTCCTCCTCTGGATGTTAGAAACAATAACCCAGAACCGGCCTACAACCCCAGTCACATCGTGAGTATTGTCCTCTATAATCCTCTAGTTATTAGGAACAATATCACGGGGGCTTGTGAGCTCTCTTAGATACTTGCAGTAATATCTTTTAAGTTTTTGAATATTAGAAACGATACTACAGTAGTGGTGTATACTGCATTCGATATTCAGAGTATGGTAATCCTTTGTCTTTCGGACATGATTCACTACATCACAGAAGCGTTTTCCTTTGCCTGTGATATTGGAACCATTGCAGAGGGTACACTTGCTCTCACAAAAAGAGTAATACCTACTTAGTCTATGATGGATAATATCACAAAATGGACACACATATGTGTATACCCACGTTGATATTGGAAGTAATTTTTATCTAATATACTAAAAATTATATCTCAGAATATACTCATGATGTGTACACTTATTGGTATATTACAAGCAAGTAACTGAATATGTACCACATGTAAACTGACTGTGATGGGCATATGTGTACACAACACAGATGTACAATAAATTTACATAATCTATAAAAGATGGACAATTATATGCATACAAAGTGTACACAATAGATATGTTCAAAAGGTGTACAATACGTACACTTATCCTAACACCACAACAATATCATATAAACACAATCGCTTATAAAAACACAATGCACAGCTAATATATAATACAAATGTACATATTGCACACACTGTGTACATTTACATTTATTGTGATATATTGATATGTACACAGGTACATCATGTACCAATTAGGTATGAATGTGCAATACCTGCAGGTGTAGATATGTGTGCACAGAATGGACATATGTACACTATATACACATACGTACATATAATGTAGATATGTACCTTCTGTACATGAGTCCATAATATGAACAGCATGCACATGCATAAACTATTTACACACATGCGTGTACACAGGCTTTGGTAACTGAAGTAATTTCTATTTAATGTGCTAAAAGTAATATCCCAGAATGTACTCATGTGTACATTTATTGACATATCACAATAAATGTATCAAGTAGGTACAGTCTGTACATTTACTCTGCTGTACATATGTGGACACAACGCACATGTACCAAAATGTACATATTCTGTAAAATATGTACCTGCAGATTTCTACAATGTGTACACCATGTATTAGGTAAATAATTTGTGTACTAGGAACATTCCTTGAAATATTAGTGATAAAATATATATAATCACAATAAGATACATAATCACAGTAATATATACATGTCGTGTAGTCTCTCCAAATAGTACATATTACACACATTAGGTATCCATTAGGTATGTATGTGTTTTGCACGTATTATGAACATACAGATTTATCATGTTAACATAAGTACACATGTACAAATATGTGCTCACTATTTAAACTATGTACAAATGAAGATATAGATGCAAACTCTGTACCTATGCACAGGCATGCTATTACCACAGCCCACATCGTAGCATCCGCCACATGCCCTCTGGGTGCTTATAGACACCCGGGCTTTGAGGCTGTGCCCACAGCCACCACCAGAGGATCTGTAAGAGCACCCAGGCCCACCCTGGCTACCTGCAGATGCCCTGGCTAGAAAGCTTTGCCCACATCCCCACCAGAGGTCCTGTAGCAGCCCGCCAGCCCACTCTGGCAACGTAGGGACACCCTGGCTTAAGGGCGTTTTCCGATACACTGCCAGAGAGCATGTAGCAGACCCCAGGCCAACCCTGCAGCTTAGGGACACACTAACTAGGTGACTGTGACCAGAGTCCCCACTGGAGGGCCCGAAGTAAATGCCAGGTGCACCATGGCTGCTTAGGAACACCCTGGCTAAGTGGCTGTCCTTACAGGCTCCACCAGCATGCCCGTAGAAGCCCAGTAGCCCAGAATGGCTGCTTAGGGAAACCCTAAATAGAGCACTGTGCCCACAGTCCCCACCAAGGAGCCCGTAGCAGACCCAAGACACACCCTGGTTGCTTCGGGACCTTCTCGCTTGGTGGCTATGCCCACCACTGCTGGGGACAAGCTATTTTGGATATGTGGTTTATCATGATATTGGCGACCATATCATACAGAAATGATAATGTTATTCTCTTTTGCTATATATTAGGCAGTAGTTATACTTACACCTCTGCTATATTGACGAAAATGCCATCCTCACATCCCTTGACATTAGAATTTAAAGCAGAGGGGAGTTTCACCTTTTGCAATGTTTAATTCAATATAATTGTTTTCTTGTTTACATTAGTGACCCTATCAGAGCATGCTGTACACCTCTTGCCATATTCAGAGTACTTCCCTATAAGCCGAAACATTTTCATCTCCTCCTCTGGATGTTAGAAACAATATCCCAGGACTGGCCTACAATTCCAGTCACATCGTGAGTAATGTCCTCTATAATCCTCTAGTTACTAGGAACTATATCACAGGGGGCTTCTGTGCCCTCTCAGCTATTTGGAGTAATATCTTTTATGTTTTTGAATATTAGAAACGATACTACAGTGGTGGTGTATACTGCATTCGATATTCAGGGAATGGTAATCCTTTGTCTTTCGGACATGATTCACTACATCACAGAAACGTATTTTTTTGCCTGTGATATTGGAGCTATTGCAGAGGGTACACTTGCTCTCAGAAGGAGAGTAATACCTTCTTAGGACCTGATGGATAATATCACAAAATGGACACACATATGTGTATATTTAGAGCAATTTTGCTTTTAACATTGGGATTCCTAGATAAGATTTATATTTTTTTCTATTCGCGTAAAATTAGAATTTAGGTATTTTACATGAGAGAGCATATTGAGTTGGTGTATATACTCCAAAACAAAGTAGAAAAGGGCATTGTATATTTTTTGACAGATTATACTCAGAGCAATTTTGCTTTTAACATTGGGGTACATAGATAACATTTATATTTTTTTGTAACCGCGTAAATTTAGAATAACTATATTTTACATGAGAGAGCCTATTGAGATGGTGTATATACTACAAAAGAGAGTAGAAAAGGGCATTGTATATTTTTCCTAACAGATTATCTTCAGAGCAATTTTGCTTGTAACATTGGGGTACCTAGATAATATTTATATTCTTTTCTATTCGCGTATAATTAGAATTTCAGTATTTTACAATGAAGAGCATATTGAGTTGGTGGATATACTCCAAAAAATAGTACAAAAGGGCATTGTATATTTTTTCTGACAGATTATATTAAGAGCAATTTTGCTATTAACATTGCGGTACATAGATAACATTTATAATTTTATTCTTGTAAAAGTAGAATTTCGGTATTTTACATGAGAGAGATGGTGAATATACTCCAGAAGAATTTAGAAAAGGGCATTGTGTATTTTTTCTAACAGATTATGTTCAGAGAATTCTGCTTTTAACATTGGGGTACATAAATAATATTTATATTTTCTTGTAACAGCGTAAATTTAGAATTTCAATATTTTATATGAGAAAGCATATTGAGTTGTTGTATATACTCCAAAACAAAGTAGAAAAGGGGATTGTATATTTTTTCTGACACATTATATTCAGAGCAATTTTGCTTTTAACATTGGTGTACCTAAATAATATTTATATTATTTTCTATTCACGTAAAATTAGAATTTCGATATTTTACATGAGAGCGCATATTGAGTTCGTGTATATACCCCAAAACAGAGTAGAAAAGGGCATTCTATATTTTTTCTGACAGATTATATTCAGAGAAATTTTGCTTTTAAGATTTGGGTACATACATAATATTTACATTTTTATCTATCCGCGTAAAATTTGAATTTCAATATTTTACATGGGAGAGAATATTGAGATGGTGTATATACTCCAAAAAAATGTAGAAAAGGGCATTGTATATTTCTTCTAACAGATTATCTTCAGAGCAATTTGGCTTGTAACATGGGGTACCTAGATAATATTTATATTCTTTTCTATTCGCGTATAATTAGAATTTCAGTATTTTACATTGAAGAGCATATTGAGTTGGTGGATATACTCCAAAAAATAGTAAAAAAGGGCACTGTATATTTTTTCTGACAGATTATATTCAGAGCAATTTTTATTTTAACATTGGGATACCTAGATAATATTTATATATTTTTCTATTCACGTAAAATTAGAATTTCGGTATTTTACATGAGAGAGCATATTGAGTTGTTGTATATACTCCAAAAAAGAGTAGAAATGGGAATTTTATATTTTTTCTGACAGATTATACTCAGAGCAATTTTGCTTTTAACGTTTGGGTACCTTGATAATATTGAGATTTTTTTCTATTCGCGTAAAATTAGACTTTCGGTATTTTACATGAGAGAGCATATTGAGTTGGTGTATATACTCCAAAACAGAGTAGAAAAGGGCATTGTATATTTTTTCTGACAGATTATACTCAGAGCAATTTTGCTGTTAACACTGGGGTACCTAGATAATATTTAGATATTTTTCTATTCACGTAAAATTAGAATTTCGGTATTTTATATGTGAGAGCATATTGAGTTGGTGTATATAGTCCAAAAAATAGTAGAAAAAAACATTGTATATTTTTTCTGACAGATTATATTCAGAGAAATTTTGATTTTAACATTGGGGTACATAGTTAATATTTATATTTTTATCTATATGCGTGAAATTATAATTTCGGTATTTTACATGAGAGAATATTGAGATGGCATATATACTCCAAAAGAATGTAGAAAAAAGCATTGCAAATTTTTTCTGACAGATTATATTCAGACCAATTTTGCTTTTTACACTGGGGTACCTAGATAATATTTATACTTTTTCTATTCTCGTAAAATTAGAATTTCAGTATTTTACATGAGTGAGCATATTGAGTTGGTGTATATACTCCAAAACAGAGTAGAAAAGGGCACTGTATATTTTTTCTGACAGATTATATTCAGAGCAATTTTTCTTTTAACACTGGGATACCTAGATAATATTTATATTTTTTTCTAGTCACGTAAAATTAGAATTTCGGTATTTTACATGAGAGAGCATATTGAGTTGGTGTATATACTCCAAAAC